GTTTTGAATCTATCAGAACAAAAATGTGTATTTAAAAGAGAATAAAAATGCTTTGCAGTAAATGGTCATTAACAGTTTGATACATCGCATCCTATACAATTGTGTATGAAGCACAGAACCTGCTTTTCATAAATATTTCAGTATGCAGAGCAAGTATTACTTTAAGGAGCACCACTAGTGGTTTCTGCTGTCCACATGATATTAAGCTTCAGACTAATTAATTGCATCCTCTGTAATGGCCAAATATGCACTTTTTGAACAATGACTGTAAAAGACTAGGATAATTTTTGTTATTCTTCGAAGCACATCCTGAATGTATTTTATTCTTAAGTAGCGAAGTCAAAACATACTTTTTTTAAAAAAGCAAATTTTAAAAAATGGACTTGGATAGTTTTCTCTTCTGTTAAGAGGACAAAAAGCTATGAGATAGTCTGTGCAAGTGTGCAGAGTATGTGTATTGAACAAGAGAAAGAAAAACTGAGTGTGAAAGAAAATTCCAGCTTCCTAAGTAAGGCCTCTGCTACATTTAATTCATTATTTAATAAATTTTTCTGTTCAATTCCAGAAAGCTTCACTCTACAAGCAGGCTGACAAGAGCTTTAGGACTTACACAAGCAATTTCTAAGACAATAAAACTCAATGAGAGTTGAGCAGTGGAGACTGAACTATCAGCCTCCAAACAATAGTTTTAAAAAAAGGGTTAAAAAGCTATTTTGATGTGCATGATAGCCTTTATTTTATATTTCCTCTAGAAATTAATTCGGTATAGAAATTCTACTTAAGATGACTTGGCAAGCACAGCCTAGCAATTAGATCGCAAAATACAGTCCCCCCTAGTTTTGTGCATACATACATTATTTACCAGGAGATTCTTTCCCAAAAGTGTAATAGGGGCAGAAAATGGCTGAGTGCAGCCAGAAAAGGAATTCAGCAAATGAGGCAGGAAAACCTGCCCATCAGTACGGTAATGAGGAAACCGAGACAAGAGGGTAGGGTTCATTTCCAGCCCTGGGTGACAAATGCCAATGAACCCAACCCAGGATTTATAAGCGCAATCCAGCAGTTTGGCAGACAGGCAAGTAATTAAGCTTCACTTGTCTGGAACACGGGTTTGGTTGTATCAGGCTGCAAAGCAGTTCTCTTCCTTGCCATAACGGAACCTTCTGACTTTATAAGGCAGGTCTGCTCATCAGTAAAGCACCTTCAGCGATTTTCCCAGAACGATTATGTCTTAGGCTACAGAAATACCTGCAGTCTAGAAGAATGTAAAGCTCACACAGAGCATCACTTGATTTCAAATCTGTTTATTGCAAGTGATTAATTCAATCACGATTGATGCTACAGCATCGATCGGGAAACTGTTTCACCACCATTTCAGGTAAAATTACATTACCTCTGAGTCTTTGGCTTTCCTATCTGGAAAATGGCAATAACAGTTGATGACTTTTATAGAAATGTTCTGATGCCCTCAGAAGAAAGTTACCGTCTAAAGGGCAAATTAGTACTATTCATCCTAAAATGCTAATACATAGTGTTACTTGTCGATGCTTCTATTATCCAATGGGAAAAACATATTTTTGAGAATCTCTAAAAATATGAAAGGATTTTTGTCAAATCTCCTTTATAGGGAGCACTGACAGCTCTCAGCACAGTAAGCCAAGCCTGATTTTTGCACTACATCTGCAATATCTTTTATACTTGGGCAGCTGGCACAAAGTGAGAAAATTCATTAACATGCTAATGATGTGTCCTATTTAAAATTCCAGCTCTGATTATTGTGTGATTAAGTCTCTTCCCTTGACGTCTGCTTCCTTATATCTGCATTACTGTGAGAAATCAACAATTATTAATGAAGTAAAAAATAGGTGACCAATTTATACACAAGAGAAAGACAAACATACACATATTTTAGCATTTCAATTTTTTTTTTTATGTTTTCCAGACAAAGCAGTATTATCTTCAGTTCAAGAAAAATCTCAAAATAAGTTTTCAAGAAGTTTACAGGCACGAAAGATAACAGTTCAAGTGCCAGATTATGTAGAAATAGCCATGTGTAGAGGCATACCTGTGCAGAAAGTTTTAAGGTGCTACATTAAAAAAAAAAAAAAAAGAGGGATGGCTCCTGATGCAGGGAAAGTCGAAGATTATGCCCTGGAAACAATACGAACGCAAGAATGAGAGGAGACAACAGCTCCAGTCGATCTGATTACCTTTCCTGAAGAAAAATGAAGCATTTCCTTTCTACAGTGAAAGACATTTAGACCCACTAACTTAAACTAGCATAAGCCTTCAAAGATGAGAAGACCAAGGGACTGCTTTCTCTGCGTTACTTTCAGTAACCTATGCTTAGTTTATGGACAGACACCTATTTCATAAAGAGCTGAGCCAAAGCACAGCACAACTCTGCTGCAAGGAGGAATCACAGGTACATCCCTACTGCATGCCAGGACACAGATCAGCCAGCCTAGCCCTGATCATTTTTGGTGTTTAAATTAGCATGGCTAATTTGTCCTGAAGGGCTCCCTAATGAATTCTGGGCGGACAGCTAGTAACAAAAGCCAGAAGACGGTAACATCCTCAGCTAGTAGAGTTAGATGGAGAAAGGATTTCTCTCCCTGGCTCGTAGCTATAGAGGGAGAAGTCAAACTAACCAAAAATGGGCTGCACCAAGCAATGGTACCAACCACCCACACTAATTTTACCCACAGCACAGAGTAGCTGAGCCCATGCTGCGTTACTAGCTCGAGGAGCAGAAGCATTTTAGGAGCTGATTTCCTGCCTGACTACATTCTCCCAAAATCACACTGTCACCTAAACCAGTGGGCCAACACCCACCCCCCGTCACAAGCCACACACCCCTGCTGCGTCCCTCGTGCTGATGGGACCCACCATACACTGGTGGGTCTCTTCAGCACGCTAATGCCCAGCTCACATCAGGCTTCTGGTCAGCATTGAGCTGGCATACGGGATGGGGAAGGAACACAAGGAAAAGGCAAAACCGCCCTTCTCAGCAGCAACACAGATTTTACCAACATAAATGAACCACAGAACCTGAGGCCGTGCAGTAAGTCAGCTTGGCTATCCCGGCTCAAATTGCACCTTTCACAGTGCAGATAAAGCCAACACAATTATCATCAGTTCTTTTAAACAACAGCAAAAACAAATGGTAACAAAATCGTATTCCAATTGTTCATGCTTTAATCTCCAAACGTAAAAGTATTATACAAAATAACAACTGGTTTGTAAAAGTGGATTCCATTTTCAAGACACAATCTGTATATTATTTTCCAGAGTGTATCAGAAGTCTTATATTCAGTTAAATGTGTTGGTATCAAACTCATGCTAGTGTTCTCAAACCTGAGTGAGTTTCCATTTGTTAAAGGAGAAAATGTGTAGATCACATGCAAGGGGGGCAGGGATGAGGAAAAGGGAAGATCTCAGATTTCAGTTTGTGTATCTCTAACTAGTATGTGCTTGATAGAGTTCTATTTTACACAAGGATAAATTTCTCCTTACGCCTACAGAATCACAATAAACTAAAAGAACAATCCACATTGTAAACACCCAGTGTTTTGCAATTTATTGTCGTAAATTGTAGGACAGTAGAGGTCAGACCAAGAAGACACTTCATTACAGCTACACAAATGCAAAAGGAAAAAAAAGAGTCTATGAACTGCTACCAATTCTGTTGCTTCAGTAAGAGTCTTGCACAGGTTTTTAAAACCCTGCTGAAGCAAAAAACAAATGAGAAGTACATGTGTATTATAGGAAGTTTAATTGTCCTAGAAACAAAAGAGCAACAAAAAGGACAGATTAGAAGGTCAGAACCCCCTTCAACTCACTTGCAAATCCAAGCAATGAGGAAGCATTGCCTGATGTGCATTTGTGGGTTTGGATCACAATGCACTAATTTGAGGAATCATTTTTTAAATTTTTATCTAGTTTCTAAAAAAGCAAGTTCTTATCTAATTGTGTGTGTGTGTGTGTGTATACATATACATTCTTCTACGCATTTTTAAAACATTGTCTTAGATGCATCCAGTTGCCTACAAAACTTTATGTTTCTAAGATAGCTCTGCTTATCCACTTGCCTATGAAGAAACTTCATACACTTTTCAAACAGAGTCACTTTCCTCTTTTCAACCGACCTACTGCTCACAAGATCCTGAAAAAGGAAAGACATTTCAAACCCCAAAATCTTTAAAGTACCTCTCAGATTTATGCTTAGCTGTTTAGAGGTAACTATAGTAACTGTACATTTGTAGTCAATTAAATGTTATTCAGCCTTTTCATTTAATCAAGCAGCAAGGCCACTTTATCTGCTTAACTTCAAGGGAGAGTACAGCAGACAAGAGGATAAGCCAAGTTTAAGAATAACTTTGCTACTTTGTTGTCAGTAGCTTTTCGAGTAACTGCACAGAACTTCCCCAATTCCACCGTGACACTACAACCCAAGCACATTGCTTATAGTTACATGTGAGCTGTGTTTGGCAAGCTGTTTAACCCCCCCACAAGCATAAATTTATGAAGAGAACTCTTGCCTTCAGAACCAGGCATCGCTTGCACCTCATACGTTCAGACTCATCACCAAATATGTTATATATATACTAAATATTTAGTTATATATACTAAATATGGTTCTATTGTCACAGCCAACTGCATCCACTGCTTCCACATAAAAGATATTTCTCTGTATGTGAATAAACGCACAGTATTATAGCAAAATTGCAATATTGGGCTTAGAAAATAAAGTTTTTGCCAACTGGGCTAAGACAGATCTCCAAAGGCTGTATATTGCTGGCATTTCTCCCCTTCAGCCTCCCCCACCTCCAGTGGAAACAGCTGAGAGCATATTCAGCATATTGCTTATCTAGGTTCTGGCCAAACTTTCCCCAGAAAAATCAGTATGTTTTGTGAAATGCAGGATAGCTCATCAAACCCAGTAGACTTCTAGGCGCTCATGACTGAGCAAAAGCTGTAACAGCCTGTGAACTACTTACCAAAGGTAGCCTCTCCTTGTTCAAGTTCTTGTTTCAGTCTGGTGTAATCATCTTTAATTCTCTCTAATTTTCGGACATTTCTGGCACTCAGAACCAACAATTCATTAAGAAGTCCTTCCAGCCCCTCCTTCTCAGATGTTAATGATCTTATTTCTTCCGTCAGATCCTTTGCAGTACCAAAATTACATCCTGCATGATTTACAGGGGCAGGGGAAAGAGGGAGGAAAGAGACAATGAAGCAGACACTTGCAACATCAGAAGGTTACACAGCAAACAAGGGAAATTAAGCAACTATACTTCCCAACAGCAACTGAACGACAAATTCTGGAGGAAAAAAAAAACCAAACCAAAACAAAACAAAACATGAAACTGCTTTGCAAGCATCCATTTCATTAACATATTACAAAAAGAATCATAATTGTAGCACATTTGATCTTATACACACAGAAATAGTCTTTTTTATGATTATTATTGATACAATTTGCATTTTTGGAGAAAACCTTTTCCTAAGGTCCACACTTCAGAATATGTCATACTGTAATTCACTGATCATTGTGGTGTGATCTGTCAGACCATCTTCTTGTTTCGGAGGACACCCCAACTCACAGTACTTTTGAAATAGATGCTATCAATCTACTAGACACTGAAGTATTTCCTTCTTGAACAAAGCACTATGCCGTTGTTCATAACAAGCACCAGAAGGTTGTTTATAAATGACATGTCGCATTTCTTAAATGGCATGCACCCTGTGCACAGACCATCAGGAGATGTTCTTCTGAGAGATCATACTTAAATGTCAAAACTCTCCACTTCTGGCTCTCCCTGAAGCATGAAACCTCAGAGACAGGTAGAACACTTCAGTATCACCAGCTCACACTGCTCTGAAATTTTTAAAAGTGTTTGGCTCCTTTGGACAGGGATCCAGAGTCAAAAGTTCAATTCCCAACCAGTTTACAGTGTAGTCCAGTAACATCTGCCCACTCAACCTTTCTGAAAACCATTTTTATAAGAATCTGGAGAGGAACGTTTCCTTACTTCACAGAGAAGTCTTAAGTATAAATGCACAATGACAGTGAGATGCTCAGCTAATAAATGATTTTTAAATAGCAGTAGAGTAACTATTACAATGTTACATTTATACAGCTATACCTGTGTCTTTTCAATGATTCAGCTAGTTGGCGGGGGGGGTGGGGGGTGTAGAAAAAAAACACAAAAACCTACAAAAACCCCACTGTAATCTAAAGAATACTTGACAAAAATAATATCCATGTAGACTTGCCCAACACAAGACGAAAGATCTCTAGCACAAGATCTAAACTCTAGCATCATCCTAACTTAGCAAAAATTTGGTGGTATGATCTGGTAAATAAAGGCATCTAGTTAGTAAAGGTACTTAGAAAATTTAGCCTTGAATCAAATATTATTGTAAAGCGCATTCAGTCACACATAAGATGTCTCATCAGCTTCTGAAGTATGTGCAATGACTTTAGACTCCTGAAATAACTTTATAATACCACCAGCATTATTCAGATATAAAGGTGTCCTTTGGCTTTTTTTTCAGTAACATAATAAACTGTTGTTTATACACAACAGATCAATTAAAAAGTTTATTTTAGAAAATTAAGACATAATCCAAAACATCAAATCCACATCAGAGTATCCTAAAGTGTGGCATTACATCCTTTTCACCTTGCGTCTCAAAAGTGTTAGTCACAAAGACTTAAACAGGAATGGTTTGGCTGCTGTTCAGTTCTTTCAGGGGAGCAAGAATGGGACGCAAGTATTTACACTGGTCGGAAGATGGCAAACCACCACCAGCTGCTGAGAGCAGATCCATTCCTCCAGAGCCTAAGAGTGAACGGAAGCACTTCCAGCAAATAATTACAACCATCCTCCTGGAGGAAAGATGCTGTTGCAAACTCGAGTGGCCGTATGAGGACAGGTGTGCCAAAGGGAGACTGCACTTTCCAAAATTTTGGAAAAGACTGTATCAAATAAATCAGGTTTAAAGACTGAACATTTCTAAGTATGGTAGCCTTGTTTGGGTTTTTTTTTTTGTTTGGTTTGTTTGTTTGTTTTTAATTTAGTCCTAAGGCCATGGCAGTTCCAGTCAACCCCTTTTTCTTGCTTAAAGCTGACCCTTTTTTGTTTCTTTTTAAGTTCAAAACTCCCCTATTTCTAATTCTCAGCTAAAACCCTGTTTGCCAGTTCTATCTTACAAAGAATTAGACGATTAAATAACTATAAATATGCTTTACAAATAGTAGGATCTTATAGCTTACCAGTGCATTTATTGGGAAACAACAGCACAAATTTTATTATCTTAATCTGTCACGTTTCCAAATGGGCAAAACACAGCAGTAAGATAAGCAAGACAAAATCACTGGAAAAATGGCAGATATTGAGACGCTTCTAAGGCAACAAGACTTATAATTAAACAGTGCACCTTTGCTTCACCTGAACTCATCCCAAGTATCAACGCACAGGAGCCTTAATAAAACATGAAGGCAAGAGATTCTTCATTAGAATCTGGAGCCTGCTCTTACATTTCAGAAGACAGCAAGGAAAAAAGTATGATATTACCTATGAAAGTTTAATACATATTGAATGGATTTTAACTCCCAGAAGGGAAGTTTATATCAAAACTGAGACTATGAGGACATGGCATCAGATAAACATACCCAAAAGCCAAAACTGCCTGATGCAGCTCCCCCTGACAGCAGAAATGTCTAGAAGTCTGCAGTGAAAATTCAGAAGAGCGTATACAAACTCATGCACCACAAGTGCCACCGGTGACCTCAATCAGAACAACCAAAATAACTGCTTTCTAAATGCCGTAAGAAGGTTGATTTAAAAATTAATATACAATCTCTAGCTGCCAGCATTAAAAAACATGCCCTCCCAGGGTTTTTTATTTGTTAAGAGACAAAGTCACATTGGATGCTGCAGAAACACACTGAAGACATGTATCAAAATATTTTATTCTGCTAATATCCTGAAAATGTTAAAATTCCTCTTTTTGATGATAAAACAATTATTTTGCCTAAGTGAACACAATAACTGTTACTTTGTCAACCACTCAGAGCTATGTTTTATATAGTCTTACTGCTGGGAGAGTTCTAGTTGGGTGACATTAGATCAATAAAGTCACTCCTAACTCTTCCCAGGAAACTCAAAAATCACTGAATAGGACTGCTCACTCAGAAAATCTGTACAGAGACAACTAAACTAAGGAATTAATAGTCCAAGACCAAAGCTGAGCTTCTGGTCTAAACCAAGACATGAGACACGGATTCTATGAAGGGGACTGAAGGGTGAAATGCCACTTTTCCCATCCTTCCCCCTGTCTCGCAGTGACACTTACTAGCGATGTGCAATTTTAGCCACTGCATACACGTTCATATAAACACACTGGGCACAAACTGGTACACCAAATGGGGAAACCCACAAGTTCAGAAAACTGTTTATAAATGTCTAGGCTAGAAAGTCTATTGTTCTATCAGAATCTTAAATCTATTCCATTTCAACTTGAATAAATACATGGAATCAACAGTGCTTGGATAAAATGGCAGGGAGGGGTAGGGGAGGAATGACCATGTGAAGTAAACTTGGGATTATAATAAAATCTGAAATCATTCACATGAACTTTGCGAAACTGATTATACTTCTACAAGTACAACACTGAAAAGTCCTATTTTCACTTTCCAGCTAATTCGAAGCATCCAGTGCTCTGAACAGCTTTCATAACATGCTTGCAGTACACTGTCATAAGGAGCTGAGTATGTACACTTCACTTTGAGGGGCTGAACCTTACCATTATCTCAAAAGACAGCAACAAAAACCCAGTTTAAACTTCCTCCTTAATCTTGCCCTCTGGGGCTCTCTCCTCACACATATCCTTCATCCCCCGCTCTCTACAGGAAGTGACATCAGGTAAGCTCCAATGGCTTGATGTGAAGGCCAAAAATACCAGCCAAATCAAGCAAAACAACCCACACTGAAAAAATGAAAGAAAAAAATTATCCCCAGGCACAAAGTAGTTATATAATTGCTTTTGCTCACTGTAAACATAAATAGTATATTTACCTTTTTTTCCTCCCTTCCCAAAATTTTACTTGTATGGCTATATACTACTGCTAAACAGTGCTCTGCCTATCAAGTATATTTTCTCTATACATGGTTACATGCCACAAATTCATGACCATTATAACAGCTCATTGTCAGATTTTACTATATTGGGCAGATTGTTGCCCATTTAGTAGCCCCAAACTAACATATCATTAGTTTGATACCATTTGCCAGCAACAAATTGACTAAAAATATGGTTTGGAATCTGTCCCATTTTGTAAAAACTAACAAATGTGTTATTATTTAAGCTTTGTTAAATATTTCCCCTTCAAAATACAAAGTTAATGGCCCGCAACTTTTTTACTCCCACTTTTTCTCATATTTATGCCAGAAATTACATACGCTCATAGTTTCCATTATACATACTTGAAGCAGAGAGGTACGTCCCATCCCTACTGAAACTATGTTCATTGTAGTACAAGCAAAGGAGCAATTTTTGCATAACAGTAAAGCATACATACTGGACATTGGCTTGAATGGAGGAAAGAACAGACTGGTCATTATTTATCATTATCTATAAGCTAGTTCTTCATAGACTAACGCTACCTTTAATAATACATAAGAAAGTGAAAATTTACATTTTAGCTTAGGGCATTTGCCACCATGGTATTTATCAATGGCGCTGGAATTCAAAGCTGAAAATCCTCCACCCTGTGATTAATGAGAATACAAACTGATTCCAACACCAGAAAAGAAATTGAAGAAAATAAATATCACTCAGCTGCTCACAAAGAAAAGAGAAAAAGCTAAAAACATGGCAGAAATGTAGGATTTGGGAAGCACTGCCAGTGTGTTTGCATCTCTGAAAAAACAAATAGCAAATGAGGGACAGTCTCCCATCTCCTGAAACATTTTAGAGAGAATTCCAGCATATTTGAATCACAATTATTGTTTTTAAGCAATAACATGTGCCAACACTTTTATGAAGCATAATGCAACTGAATGATTGATGTGATCCTGAAAGGTAAAGTAAGAAAATCCATCTAGAAGCAGGCGAGAGACGCCACAGACAAATATTTGGAGGAGGAATTCTCTGCCACAGAAAGCCTCTTGTACCCAGA